AAGTCCAGTAACAAACCACCACTCCGGTTCAGATCAGGGGGGCCGTTCCTCCCAATCACGCCCCTCCAAGTGTCTCCATCATTGCCCACATGTGCGTTGAAGTCTCCCAGCAAGATTAAAGAGTCCCCTTCAGGAGCCCCATACAGGACTCTTTCCAGGGTCTCCAAGAAGGCCGTATACTCTGAACTGCTGTTGGGTGCATAAGCACACACAACAGTCAGAGTTTTCCCCCCCATAACCCGCAGGCGTAGGGAGGCGACCCTCTCGTCCACTGGGGTAAACTCCAACAACGAAGCACCTAACCGGGGACTTGTGAGTATCCCCACACCCGCCCGGCGCCTCACACCTTGAGCAACTCCGGAGAAGAATAGAGTCCAACCCCTATCCAGAAGTAAGGTTCCAGAGCCGACGCTGTGCGTAGAGGTGAGCCCAACCAGATCCAACTGGTAACGCTCCACCTCCCGCACAAGCTCCGGCTCCTTCCCCCCCAGAGAGGTGACGTTCCACGTCCCCAAAGCCAGCTTCTGTCGCCCGGGTCTGGTCCGTCGAGACCCTCCGCTTTCACTGCCACCCTTCTGGCAGCGCACCCGACCCCATTGATGTTTCCCGTAGGTGGTGGGCCCGCGGGACGGAGAAGCGGAGGTGTTGCCCACGTTGCCTTTTCGGGCTGGGCCCGGCCGGGCTCCGTGGCAAGCCCGGCCACCAGACGCTCGCCGACGAGTCCTCCTTCTGGGCCTGGCTCCAGAAGGGGACCCCGGGCTTCCTCCGGGCCGGGTATCCTCACTTCTTGTATCGTCTTTCATGAGGTCTTTTGAACCAATCTTAGTCTGGCCCCTTGCCTGAGACCAATTTGCCATGGGAAACCCTACCAGGAACACAAGGTTCCAGACAACACAGCCCCCAGGTTCATCAGGGCACACAAACCTCTCTACCACGGTAAGGTGCTGGTTCTTCAGAGAAGTTGTAATGTATGTATGAAATGTAATGTTATTTACAGTAATTTAATAGAACGTGTGTGCAAGCATTAGGTTGTTTATGAAGTTGTGTTTTATCTAGTGAGGTTTCAGTGAAAAAGGGTCAAATTTATGAAGTAAGGATGATAAATCTTTGCAAATTACTTTCAACTCGACAATTTTCTTAGTTTTTAGGATTTTTCATTCACTGTGGAGGCTGAAGAGTAGCTGATGCACAAATGATAATATTGTGGTCAAATGTTCTTTTAAGGTGTATAACTAAAGGTATTTTAGTCAGATCATATAGACCCAGCTTTTACCCTTTGCTGCATCATAACCTAGGAAAACTCTCCTCACATTCCTCCCTTTGGCCTCTGATAGTGTTTAACCACAAACCCAAACACATGTACAACTCTGCTGCTTTATCCTGGTCGTTCTGCTCAGCTTCCCATACATGGCTCAGCTTTAACAACTATTTAAGAATTCCTCCTTCCGACATGACTGGAATACTTTGGTAAGTTTCCAGACTGGGCCCGATGTACCGGCTCTTCACATGACCCGACTTTCTCCACTGACTCCTCTAAGGGTATTCTGGGATTCTGCTGAATGGTACGATGTTGAAGTAAACTCGTACCAAACTGTGCAGCCTGGAGTGTGCCACCAGAATAATTACACCCATTTCATTGGCTAATTATAATGAGTTAATTGATGCGTTTTAATAAGCCAGCAGTTGCAGTCTTTGTCAGCTGGCCAATTTCAAGTTCCTGCTTTATGGGTCGGATCGAGGTTTTATTTAGCACGGCTGGGTTTTAAAATGACAGAATGGAAAAACTCATTAGCACTTAGAATATAAATGATACATTTAAAGGCTTTTTTTAGCCACGATAGCATGGATCTGATCCAACAAGGCTCAAATATCTCATCAAATATTTTAATGTATTGCCATGAAATTTGGTACAGATGTTCATTTTTCCCTCAGGGCTTATTTGAAATAACTTTTGATTTGTTTTTATGGCATGATTGTTAGCTTACTGATATTAGCATTTACCTAATAGCTTACCCTAATAGCCTCAAAGAGCTGCATGCTGAAGTGTCTACTCTACATATTTTAGTCATATTCAATGTTGCAAAAAAACATTTTTCTTGATGCAATGATGGTTGTTTACATACAGTATGCACATGTCAGTTTTATTTTAAAGCAGAATTTAATAATTGTGAGCATGTTAGCTTATTTACATTAGCATTGCGCCAAACGCATCACTTTGCCAAAGTAGCCTAAACTAGCCGGCTTGCGGTAGACTTATTTCTTATAAGCTAAATGTTACTAAATCTTTTTTGTGACCTAGTGTTCAATGTCTTTTTTTTTTTTAAACATTGGAAGGTAATTTAAAAAAAACTTTTTAGTGTGACCGTGTTAGTTGACTGACATTAGCAATTAGCTAATGACTGCGCTAAAGTAGCCTCAACTAGCTGCTAGCATAGACTCTTAGCACTGTTTTTGCTTATTTAAATCAGAGCAATGCTACATAAAAAACATTTTCTTCTGATGTTATGTTGGACGTTTGTGATGTTTGAGGTTCTCATTGTGAGCATGTTAGCTTACTGACAAAGCACTATTTTGCCTAAGTAGCCTAAAGGCCCGGACACACCAAGCTAACACCAAATAACTGACACAGACGGACCCCCGACTGTTGTGTCGCCTCGCGTCTCTGCGTCTTGGCCATGTGTCGCACTGGAACACACCGCAAAGACTTCTCATGCACTGATTCGCTAGCTGAACAGCCAATCAGAGTGATTTTTTTGCCGACAGCCTTTGGCCGACTGCCCACCGATTCGACATGTTGAATCGGTGGGTTTCCGGCTGAAAAGGCGTCGGCACGGCTGAAAAGACACAACGGTGCGGGACACACCAATCTGAGTAGGGCGTGTCGACGGCCAAAATCAGCCTGGTGTGTCCGGGCCTTTACAGCCGCTAGCTGTATAGACTATCTACAGTATATACTTTTTAAGAAATGTTAACAATATGTTAGGTTGATTACATCAGTAGCCTCACAGAGCTACTAGCCTTAGCCTGGTAAATACTAATTTTGGTGAGATAATACTCTACCATTAATACTTTTTTTGTTATGTTTTGTCGAATTTCTAAATACTTTATCACTAGAAGACTTTGATAGTTCTTCACTGTGAACACATTAGCATACTGACATTAGTATTTAGCTTAAAGCTCACTATTCTTACAGCCTCACACAGCTGCTGTACTGTTTCAAATGCATTTTGCAAATCCACTTTTAACAATTAAATCATACATTTATTAAAGACACCATAATGAAATGGAGTTATAAATCTACCATGGATAATGAACATTGTATGAATCCAATAGTTTAATTAGAATGGAATGAATATCATTTATTTTTCTGTTAAATACCTGTAAGTTAATTAGCTATTGGAAAAAAGCGTGTAATTATCCCCGTGACTAACGAGCTGCAGTCAGCTACTTTTGGTTTTGTTCCGTGGTTCAGTTTCCTCACCAGCACCGGTGACATCACGTTCCCAAACATTCACCCTTGGAAGTTTGTCCATATATGGAAGAGTGCTCCACTTTCTCCTGACTGCCAGGGCTATCCCGTGCATGTGTGTGTGTGAGAGAGAGAGAGAGTGTGTGTGTGTGTGTGTGTGTGTGTGTGTGTGTGTGTGTGTGTGTGTGTGTGTGTGTGTGTGTGTGTGTGTGTGTGTGTGTGTGTGTGTGTGTGTGTGTGTGTGTGTGTGTGTGAGAGACAGGAAAGGGAGAGAGTTGGTTTACCTTACAAGGCAGACAGACCTGGACTTCCCTCTGGTGTTTACAGGAGCCTCTTTCTGACTCACCTTTCTTTTCTCAATGACCAGGAGTCTGTAACGTGGACGTGCCAAAATATTTAAAGCCAGGGTCACCTTCTAAAACTAATATTTGTTGGAATCCTCTTTACACCGGTTTCAGGGGACATTCATAATGTGAAGAAGTGAGCATGGAACCAGATACATTCTTGCTGTTAAATGGGGAAACTATTTCCTCTAATTTATGAAGAATTTTTCATTTTTAGGATTCACGGTTGAGGCATGTGAGAATTTTCCAGTTTGCTTCAATAATTCAGGGCATCAGTAGATGATTAGCATAGTTTATATACAAATGATCATTTTGTTCGTGAAGTATTACTTAAACAAGAGTGAATATCCCTCTAGAGTCAACATTTCATCACTTTCTGTTCCCTGGTCTGGAGGTCAATGGTTTTCTGAATGGGTTTTTGGTTGTTGGCCTGAAATAAGGTCTGACACAAGCTGAAGATTTTTATTCTACGATATAAATATGTCAGTAAATACCCCACTGGTGAATTGAAAAACAGCGTTTGCTAACAAGTGTCTAAATTAGTCAAGTAAACGTCATCACGCCCAACATTAGGCGCCTTTAGTTTAGCGGTGATGACATGAAGTCATGTGACCGTGCTGTAGTTCCTTCATAGCCCAACATTAGCCACTTTTAGCTTAGCGATGGTGACGTGAAGTCATGTGACCGTGCTGTAGTTCCTTTATAGCCCAACATTAGCCACCTTTAGCTTAGCGGTGGTGACATGAAGTCATGTGACCGTGCTGTAGTTCCTTTATAGCCCAACATTAGCCACCTTTAGCTTAGCGTTAGCTTTTGGCTTTAAAAATCATAAAGTGGTGTTAATATGTGGAGATTATCCTGCTGAACAAAACGTGAAGTCAGTAGCAAAATTATCAAAAAATAAAACATAAAATAAATTATAAGAAACACCTAATATTAATAAAACAGCTTTGTCAGCCCTCTTTAAACTACAATATTATCCTGGAAAGTTTCCGGAAGTAACGCGTTACATGTGTTTTATCCTAATTACATTACTCGACAGTCATACCTCAGACCAACAACATGCAGTCAACCTTGGATATAAAGCCTCAGGACTGACAACCAAAACAGCCAATCAGCTCCCAGGAGGCGGGTCATGTGCTCCCCGAGGCGTCCAATCACAGCGCTCGGTCGGCTATCGATTCAATTTTGTCTGAAGCAGAAGTTTTTTGCGTCTGTCGCTCCTCGCCTTCCGCGGAGAGCTGCTGAAAAACTACCGCAGAGAAGAGAGAGAAAATAGGCAGAGTTCGTGGGGAGAAAGAGAGAAAGAGGGAGGGTGAGACAGACAGAAAGAGAGGAAGAAGAAGCCGAGGGAGGACCGTTAATTTCATCCATAAACCGACTCTGAATGCGTGGCGGAGCCGAGCTGCAGGAAGAAAAAACCCAGCATCGAGATACAAAAACCAGTTTAAATGTATAACATGGATCAGGATCAGGACCAGTACGATGGCGATGGGGAGATTGCCTACATGCACCAGGAGGATGACTGGGATCGGGATATGCTCCTGGACCCTGCATGGGAGAAACAGCAGAGAAAGGTGAGACTCCGAAGCCTTTTTTAGGAGTAAAGGTGCGGAAATGAGGGGGGAGATCTGGAGGAGGATGATCATCAGAGGTGGGAGAAGTACTCAGATCTTGTACTTGCGTAAAAGTAGAAATATCAGAGTGTAGGAATACTCTGTTACAGTAAAAGTCCTGCAATCAAAATGTTACTCAAGTAAAAGTACAAAAGTATCAAAATATAGTGAAAGTAGCGACAGTAAAAGTAGTCGTTGTGCAGATTGGTCCATTTCAGAATAATATATATGATATGTTTTATAATGATTGATCATGAAAGTGTTCTCAAAGCTGGTAAAGGTGCAGCTAGTTTTAATGACTTTGTATACTGCAGGGTAGCTGGTGGATTTACTCCAGGTGAACTAAAGTCTGATTTAACACTTGATTATATTTCACATCATTCATCCAGATCTGTGAAGTAACTAGATATATAAATACATGTAGTGGAGTAAAAGTACCATTTACCTCTGAACTGTAGTGGAGTAAAAGTACAAACAAATAAAAAAAGAATACTCAAGTACAAGTACCTCACAAAGTACAGTACTTTAGTAAATCTACTTAGTTAATTCCCACCTCTGATGATCATAATAAGCATCAACGTTAATTGGATGTGCTTTACGCACTGTTAGCTTTAATTATAAACCGAATTAAGGCTTTGCTGGTCACCTGTGCTAGTTTCTGGTTGTGCTTCAAAACTTTTCATCCCTTCACATCTCTAAAAACACTCAGTTGGAAGAGTCCTGCTGTAGGGGTCGTGTAGGGGAGGAGGAGGGGGGGCAGGAAAATGATTAAAAACTGGACATGACGCCCACCTTTCCAGAGCAACAGATGTCAGCCACGCGCTTCACTGCCCTCCTGTCATCTGATGATGCGACGTGGATTAGACCACGCTTAAGTGTGTGTGAGGGGCTAACCCCCCTATGGCTCATTTTGCGTCCTCTAATTAAGCTGTTTGGGGATTTTACCCGCGGATTTTAAGTTTGGTGCAAAAATTGATGACTAGCCAAAGTGTAGTAGTTAATTTATTTCAGTGGTGTAAAGTACCTAAGTACATTTACTCAAGTACTGTACTTGAATATGTCCATGTGTTGCTCATTTATACTTCTACTCCACTTTATCACTGTCAACATGAATTTATTTTTTTGTTTTATTTTCTATTTTGAGATGTTTCTATTTTACGTTTGTTAATTTTCCAGTCTTTTTATTTTCTTATTAGGTGCAATACTTGTAATGAAGTAGTTTGACAATAATATATTGGTACTTTTACTCAAGTAAAGTATCTGGATACGGCAAGATTCAGGATTCAAAGGCTCTCTTGTCGCACAGTAGCTACAGTGTAGATATGGCAATGAAAAACCTCCCAGGTTCATTCAGCAATGCAACATGAATATAATATAAGACAAAAAAGTAGTATCAAATAGTGCAAGACTAATGTGCAAGTAATGCAGGAGAAGTGACGTATATACATGTCAATACAAAAATACAATAAGCTAAATGTTGCAGAGAAGTAAATACTTCTTCCAACACTGGTCGTATTTACTTGATTCCTGTTTTAAAACCTTCTTCACATGTTGGACGAACCTGAGCTCCATAACCTGGTTTAACTCCATGATAAAGGACTCGTTAAAGACACCCATTGGTCGTCTTTAACGAGCCCTGAATCCCCTCCAGCTGCGGCTCTCTTTCCTGCGCCGTCAGGAGAGTATGAATGGCCTGTTTGGAGAAGGGGTGTTACTTCTTCTCTCTTTCCTCCCTCCACTGTGAGGAATCTGAGTGCGCTGTGGTTTGTTGGGTTGGGCTTGCATGGGAGCGTGAGTGTGCCCAAAAATGGTAATAATCGGCCCCTCTCTCTCTGCTGCTGGAAAACTTTTCCCCCTTTTAAGTTTCTCTGCTGCTCTCAGCTCCCTGTTTCCTGGATTATGTCATCGGCTGCTACCGGTCTGCAGGGAGGGAGGGAGGTGGGGGGGGGGGGGGAGGGGGGTGCAGGTGTGGAAATCATCTACTACATGATATACAGAGACACAGAGACACCTGTAGACCTACATCAGGGGGACAAAAAGTCAGAATTGGTTTTATTACCAAGTATGTTTACTCATACGAGGAATTTGCTTTGGTGGAAATGGTGCATCTGTTTTAAACGGCTAGTTTAAATAAAGACAATATTTACGCTACTTATAGATATGTAAGAAACTGATTACAGTAAAGTAGAATAAGACAAATACTCTATTAAAAGTAAATAGCGGTGCATTAAGTACAAGTACTCGTACCAGAGTGTAGAAGGCGATCAAAATGTACCTTAATCGAGATCCGAAATGTTTATTTATGCCGGGGGGATTAGGTTTTAGGACTTTGTAAAACATATTTACATGTGTGTAAGTGTTCTTCTGTTTAATGCCGCTGGTTGAGTACAGGATTATTTAAATACCGTTACAATTAGTTTGTGTTGATGAGAATGATCTGCATAGCAACTAAAGCTGTAAGATAACTGTAGTGGAGTAAAGAGTATCATGTTCTCCTGGAGTAGAAGTATGTAGTACTACATAAAGTGGAAATCCTAGAGTAAAATAGAAGTACCACAAAATTGTACTTATTCAAATTCTTGAGTAAATATCTCCTGATGAGCTGCATATTTCTCCCCTCATTGATCTGATGATGAGAGAGCGGACATGTTTTATTCATCCTCTCCACATGAAGAGTCTGACAATTGCAGGCTGAGAGTGGACACGCACACACACACACGCACACACACACACACACACACACACACACACACACACACACACACACACACACACACACACACACACACACACACACACACACACACACACACACACACACACACACACACACACACACACACACACACACACACGATGAAGGAAAACATTATTATTAATATAGAGATATTCAAAATTCTGACTGAATTTGCATCTTGGAGTTTCTTCCTTTGGGATACATGTGCTTTACTTCTCTGAAGCCTTAAAGCAATGTTTTAGATGAGATACTTCAGTGTATTTCCTGCAGTAGATTCATAGAAACAGACATCAGCAGGAAGCTAAGCTATGTTCTGCTGTTAATTTATTTTAGACACCTACAAATCTATATTAAATTGCTTAACCTTGCTGCCAGAAAAGCCCACCAGAGTCCATTGACAAAAAGAGTAATTTAACCTTTCAGAATATGGGAGTTGCTCGGAATACGGCTGCTTTGATTGGTTGGTTATTTTGTGTTAGTGTGGGACTTGTGAGATTGAACATGTTAGTTTGTATTCAATAAAGTCCCACTTACTATAACACAAGAAACTAACTGATAAAAGAAACAGGAGACAAGCAAGTCCTATATTATCCAAGCTAAAATGACTGCTTTTGTCAATGGAGTCTGGTATCTTAGAAGAGAGTGATATGACCTTGAATAGGACACATTCTTCTCATGTTCAGGTCTATATCAGTATGTAGTGTCTCTACTTTAAAGAGTCCTCTCCTGCTGATGTTCAGGTGTATATCAGTATGTAGTGTCTCTACTTTAAAGAGTCCTCTCCTGCTGATGTTCAGGTGTATATCAGTATGTAGTGTCTCTACTTTAAAGAGTCCTCTCCTGCTGATGATCAGGTGTATATCAGTATGTAGTGTCTCTACTTTAAAGAGTCCTCTCCTGCTGATGTTCAGGTGTATATCAGTATGTAGTGTCTCTACTTTAAAGAGTCCTCTCCTGCTGATGTTCAGGTGTATATCAGTATGTAGTGTCTCTACTTTAAAGAGTCCTCTCCTGCTCATGTTCAGGTCTATATCAGTATGTAGTGTGTCTACTTTAAAGAGTCCTCCCCTGCTGATGTTCAGGTGTACATCAGTATGTAGTGTCTCTACTTTAAAGAGTCCTCTCCTGCTGATGTTCAGATCTATATCAGTATGTAGTGTCTCTACTTTAAAGAGTCCTCTCCTGCTGATGTTCAGGTGTATATCAGTATGTATTGTCTCTACTTTAAAGAGTCCTCTCCTGCTGATGTTCAGGTGTATATCAGTATGTAGTGTCTCTACTTTAAAGAGTCCTCTCCTGCTGATGTTCAGGTCTATATCAGTATGTAGTGTCTCTACTTTAAAGAGTCCTCTCCTGCTGATGTTCAGGTCTATATCAGTATGTAGTGTCTCTACTTTAAAGAGTCCTCTCCTGCTGATGTTCAGATCTATATCAGTATGTAGTGTCTCTACTTTAAAGAGTCCTCTCCTGCTGATGTTCAGGTGTATATCAGTATGTATTGTCTCTACTTTAAAGAGTCCTCTCCTGCTGATGTTCAGGTGTATATCAGTATGTAGTGTCTCTACTTTAAAGAGTCCTCTCCTGCTGATGTTCAGGTCTATATCAGTATGTAGTGTGTCTACTTTAAAGAGTCCTCTCCTGCTGATGTTCAGGTGTATATCAGTATGTAGTGTCTCTACTTTAAAGAGTCCTCTCCTGCTGATGTTCAGGTGTATATCAGTATGTAGTGTCTCTACTTTAAAGAGTCCTCTCCTGCTGATGTTCAGGTGTATATCAGTATGTAGTGTCTCTACTTTAAAGAGTCCTCTCCTGCTGATGTTCAGGTGTATATCAGTATGTAGTGTCTCTACTTTAAAGAGTCCTCTCCTGCTGATGTTCAGGTGTATATCTGTATGTAGTGTCTCTACTTTAAAGAGTCCTCTCCTGCTGATGTTCAGGTGTATATCAGTATGTAGTGTCTCTACTTTAAAGAGTCCTCTCCTGCTGATGTTCAGGTGTGTATCAGTATGTAGTGTCTCTACTTTAAAGAGTCCTCTCCTGCTGATGTTCAGGTGTATATCAGTATATAGTGTCTCTACAGACAGCTCTTTCTGAAGGGGAACTGAAGTTAAATCACTCTCTTTAAATCCATCAGACTCCAGCAATTTGACCTTAATCCTGTAGTGACCCAGAGACAAACTGCACTTTTAATTTCTGTCAAACTAAACTTTACCACTGAAAAAAT